TGGGCGTTTGCAGTTAATCATTGCGCGACTTTTAAGATTTAAATCGGAATCTAATTTTCGCATTTAATATAATGTGAGGAATAAAGAAAATGTGGGGAATGTTTAGAATGTTTACAGTTTTTTTAAAAAAATATAAATTTTATTTTATTTTATTTATATATATATAATATTTCGATTTCGATTTACAAATAAAGGTCCACCAAATTCAATCACCTTAACCTCGTAAAGTGACTACAACACTCTAACAATCGAAATTGTTGAAATAATATTCTTCACCTCTCGATTAAAACAGTCAGACTTCACCCTTTTTATTGAGAGAGAGATCTGGCTGTAATTATGTGAACCTTTTCGTTCCGAATGTTTATATTTTTTTTTTTTAAAGAACACAAGTTTAAGTCTTTCTACCCAAGCTAATGAAAAAAACTCCATAAATTCATATCCATAAATGTATGAGGAATTCCGCATATCAACAACTTTTTCAATTCTTTGAGAGGTGACACAATCTAATCTCAGTTGCAGAATTGTTATCGATTACGATATATATACAATCAAATCAATATACACTAATTTGGACAAAAAAGATAAAAATAAAAAGATTATATAATGTTAATTTCCGATAAAAAAAAAAAAAAAAAAAAAGTTTGATAATATAAGAGCAAAAATAATAAATTCCGAAAAAGCCAACAATGATTGATCATATGACATGTTTGACTTACGTTATGGGCTTCTTCCAGTAACACGGTTCATTGAAAATTTTTGAAAACGTGTTTTCAAATTGATTATTAAATATGGCGATTAAAAAGCGAAGAATTTTGTATTTATTTTATGGTCGAGAGCAATATCATTTTTTTTTTAAAAAAAAAAAAATTGTGAATTTTTTATTTTTTTTTTTGCTGTTCCTTTTTTACTTTAGCTAATATCACTTTTTTCGATGAAGTCACAAAATGATTAACCTTAAATAGTAATTTTCATCAAATTTATGATTGGTTTTTATATTTAAGCACGGTTTTCATCAAATTTTTTTTTTTTTTTATCCTTAATTTTCTTTTATAATTTGATGAAAGCACAACCAATAAAACTGAAAAAAGAACATACTTGGTTACTCTTTTTCCACTGTCTTCGGCATAGTAATAGTAGACGGAGACATATAAAAAGTACTTTAAATTTAAGGTTTTTGACTCATTATAAGCTTTGCCATAAATAAACATATTTTTCTAAGTGAAATATCTGTGTGTATATTATTGGGAAGAAGTAATATGCTATTGAAGAACAATTTTTCATTGGTGGAATGTGTATTATGTGATCGAACATAAGTTCCGCAACTTTTATCTGTTTTGTACATAAATCCCAGGCGCAATCATTGTTACTATGAATGATAGACCATTCTTCATATGTCTTTAATAAACTATTTGAGACACAGAATCACAAATTAAATAGAATATATTATTTATGTATTTTCATGCGAACGAAACTCCCCGGAAAATTTAAAAAAATTGTTTGTTTGTTATTTTTCTTTTTTGTCCTCTTTTTTTTTTTGTTTTTTGAACTTTACATTAAAATTGACAAATAAATAAAAAAAAAAATTTAAACGTTTCGTTATATCTTGAAATGTCAATATAAATAAAAATTTATTGAGTTGTTAAAAAAAATTTTCTAAATAAAAAAATTTTTTTATTTATATCAAGCGAGAATGAGCCATTTCTTTTTTTTAAAAAAAAAAAAAATAAATAAATTATCCTCTTAACCGCAGTATATCAAAAACAAATGTTCTAGTATATAATAATCCAATAAAAACCCGCTTTGTAATCATGCCTGACCTCACTGCGGCTATTTTTTCAAGGAGTGGGACAATTTCTATAATGATATTTACTTTGTTTGAATATGAATAGGTGAAACCATGATAACGTGATAGGCATGTGTTGCAAATTACGCCAATACGACTGGACTGAGTCAAGCCTGAGTAATTATGCATATGATATCGGTTCTTTATTGCATGATGTTACGAAAACATTTACGCCACCTTTTCATTATCTAAATAAATCCATTTAAGTAATATTAAAGTTATTAATTTTTATACACATATTTTATTTTACTTTAAATTATATATTCATTTTTTAATATTGTTTCAATTTTTTTAGCAATGTTAAAATGAAAATTTTATTCGGTGCACTATTCAAAATGTTGTTTTACCATCGACATAATTCGTACGTTAAAAAAGATTTAATTTCCCACTTAGATTATAATATTTTTGATTTAATATCGTAAACTAGTCAATCAATAAAAAATATATATATATATATCATTGTATAAATTAGATTAATGTACAAAAATAATAAAATAAAAAACGAAAATGCATAATCGCTTCTTTCATTTCAATTACAAATTGGTTTTTGAACCCCAGTGGGCGCAATATGATGTTACTCAAGATAAATAATAAATTGTGTTATTTTATGTAGTATTTCTCAAGGAGCTAAACTTTAAATATATGCCAACGCATTACTAGGTAGAGATGATAAATAATTTTCATATAAAGTAGCACTGAAAATCTCTTTCTCATCGAAGAAAAATATTTTTTTTCAATTGTTATAATCACACAAATGGCACATAATAATCATATACAAAGTGATCACCTCAATTTTATTGATGAAAATAATTGTTTGATTTCGGAAACCAATTTCCAAGGGGAACGCTCTTCTTCAAACATTAATTACGGTTACAACAATAGTCTTCCTATTATGTACAATAATTCAATGTCTTATGGGGGAGCGATTTCGCATCATCAACAACAAATGGCCGGCTCTAATGCTTCAATTCGATTATGCCCTCCGTCATATGGCTCACATTATACTGGTCATGCTAATATTAGCGAAGAACAAAATCCCCCGTTGTTCAATAATTATACCTCTTCACTTAATATGGCTACCAATCCACCACCTCAATCTAATTCTGGAATTTTTAAATTTGAAATTCCTGGTTTCAGGATTATCGTCATTCCGATTTCTTCAATTGAAAATTTAAATGTGCAAGAAGATCAATATTGTTTGGATAATTCTTCTCCAAACATTAATGCTAATAATTCTCAAACCCAATTTCAACAATCTTATAATTATAATAATTTTTAGTATTTTTTTTTTGATTCAGTTGAAAGGACCTAGGATATTAAAATTTCTTGCTGTATATCTTTTTATTCTTTTTATTTTACATTTATATAATAAAAGATTGTTTTATTCATTAATAAATATAGTCTTTACTTCCTGTCACTAATACCGAATTAATCCTATAATAACTATTAGGGCTAAACTTTAAACTATTAATTCGGCACAAGATATCATTACATTGTAAGTAAGTTAATATACCATGTGAATACACTTCTTAACAATTCATTTTTTCAGAATTCTTTAATTTAGAAAAAGTTTCAAAAAAAATAAAGTTCATTGTGTATTTAGGTAAACTATAATTATGAATGACTTTTACGAATGTTACGAAGCTTAGCATATTGAAAGTTAAAACAATGTAAAAAGAAATTTAAAAAGGAAGTTTCAAAGGTTTAAAAAAAATACATGTAGATAGAGTAAAGAAAATGAATAATTTATGAATGATCACGAGTTTCCAAAGAAAAAACTGCTTATAATTACGGAATAATGAATATTGATGTCATTCGATGATGAAAAATCTCGACATAGGATATATTTTTTTTTTTTAAAAAAAAAAAGGAATTTTTTCAAATATGATTGTAGAAAATTCGCACGTGATTATTATACTGTATATTGCTTTATAAGAAAAGTACTCAAAAATAATATTCGATATATATATGCTTTGCTAAATGCGGCTGATAACGAACCACCAGATGAGACATAATATCAAATTCATAAGTCCTGTTATCCTGTTATATATGGAAATCGTATTTATATACGTAGTATTATTGATATTTATGCGATCTTTGTAATAATATGGAGTTCAAAGAATACAATGTTCAATATTATAACCATAACTTCAATAATTTATCCAATAGTTTAAGACGCCGTTAATATACTAAAATTCGGTGCATTTCTAAAAAAAAAAAAATATCGTTTATTTGATATAACCCTACCGCTTAATACTCGTCTTTATAAAGCAGATATAATATGATTTGATTATATGATTTTATTAAATTTGTCCAAAGATTAGAACATTTGCAATAGAAAGGGGGTAACTACCGGAAAAATCAATTTTTACTTTATATGCCAAATACGATAGAATTAGCATTAATTCATTTTTTATTTTTTACATACAGCCGTTTCGTGGATCGGACCAAATTTAGCCGAAGCCCGTTTATCGGATCACTATTTTACCGAAAACGATAACTTAACTGCGCCTTCCTTCGTGATAAAAAATTTATCTCGTGATAAATTTAATATGCGTATTTGTTTTTTAGATAACAGGAAAAATCAAAGTGATTTGGTACAAAAATCGAAATGTAAGTAATTACCATAAAGGCCTTGTAAAAGTGAAGACGTTAAAAATAATTCTTTGCATGATTGGAAAACAACGCGTCAGATTTTTTAAATGGCACATTATCATAATATATAATGTATACCGCCAAATAAACTAGCATTACCTGTCTAAAAAACGTAAAATGAAAGAAATATGATAATCAAATAGTATAATTTCATCATTTGGTAATTTATAAATGAAGAAAAATGTTTTAATGTCCCTAGTTATTTTCCATTTTAAATATAAAAAGGAAAATATTACGAATGATATTTGGATATGTCATAGAATAAACTATTAACTTCGGCCAATTGGGTTTAATAAGGTAGAACAAATTTCGAAATACATTAATACATTTGTTTTTTTAAGAATTTTTTAAATAAGTAATATATGGGGCCACTAAACAGCGTGCCCAATAATTTTGTAAGTAATAAAGCAATGCACTCTTCGGAATTTCTAATTGCTAAAAGACTACAATTGCTGAAGAATGATGGAGTAGCAGCTTCAAAGTTCTTATTTTCTTGAAATTTATGATTATCAAATGTTGTAACTTTTTTAAACATTCACGATTTGCGAATAAAAAAGTGTTCGCTTTAAAAGTAAGTTTTTTCAAGAACTTTTTACAAGTAGAGATAAATTATAACCTTAAAAACAAAAAATACTGCTGTATATGTAATTTTATTGGAGGAAAAACATTTTCTAGGTTGTAGAGATGGATTTATGTAAATTGATTTTTATATTATAAAAAGTTTATGACGAGAAGTTCTTAATAAATTCCTGAATTTAAATATGACTTGTTTGCAATAATAACTTTTATTGAGGTAAGTAATTTATCTTTTTCTTTAAATGACACCAGTTTAGCTAAATAGACAATATTAACAAAAACACTAAAAATTGTGTAAAAGTTTAAGATTATTAAATGATAAGAAAATAATAAGAAATAGCAGTGACAAATACATTTTTATTAATTTAAAATTAATATATTTATAGGGAGAGAAGAAAATAAAGTTCTTGCTTGCTTTGAATTATGGAATATATAGAGAGGAAGAAAACA